TTAAAATTCATTATGAATTAATTAACACATTATATAAAAATAAAATGTTTTTGTTTCATCATTTTACAAAGTACTATATCCAGTGGTGATTAACAGTGGGAATTTTGTGTGTCTTGATATGTGTTGCTCAAAAAGAAACTAAATTTATAGGATTACCACTAAATTGATGACATTTTCTGTCTTCACTCTTGAATTTAGTTGGCAGATGTTTTTGAGAACAAAAAATTCCATCTTATTACAAAACATATTAAGCAGGTTTTCCTGCCAGGCATGTCTGACATGATGTTTATTGCCTAGACCAAATCAATCCCCTTAATAAGCCATAATATATGCCAGCAAGTACATTATTTCATAGTTAAGGAAAGTTGCCACATAAAACAGTGAGTTCTTTGATCTCTCATGTTCTGCTCCTAATGCATTGGAAATGTGCTACATAATCCACTAGTTAATCATGTCTATTTGCACTCATTTAGTAAGTAAAAGAAGGTTACACTTCGCTAATCTTAAAGTTTTTAGGCCTATACACTACTTCTGCCCTTGTGTACCAGATAGTTACAAAAACTTAAAAGGAGATTGGCTATTTATTAGATACCAAAGAATGAGACAATTCAAATACCTGAATATACTAGGAAAATAAAATAATTCCAGAGATTAAACAATCATTGTTTATAATACAAATAAAGTGAAGTTGGTTACTAAAACAGCTGATACAAGACTCCAATGGCATTAGTACAGAAGAAGAGAGGTTCAGAAGGGAGGCAGGTGACATTTGTTAGTCCTCATCAATACTGTGAACATACTACAGTCAAAACACCAGAAATGTATGTTTAAAAAGACAGCTTCAATCTATCGGAGATAGCTGTTGCTGAACAATTGCAAAACTTCACATAAATGCTAAAAAAATTAGTCAGAAAACTAAACAATATCTCACATGTGAAGGAATAAGATTTTTGATAGATGTCCATAAGTAATCAATCCATAAATATCTGAGTATCTTCGATGTATATGCCAGGTTCTTCCTATCCTGTAAATGTCTTCTACACGTCTGGACTTGCCCTTCTGTGGTTCTCTAATTCCCCTCCCCTTCATCCTCAGCATCTATTTTTGTTTTCTTTTATTTCACACACTGGGGCCAATCTTTCTTCTCATCAGCACAGTCACAACTAAGCCTCACCCAAGCAAAGAGATGTTCAGGTACTTCCAGCCCAACATTAGACAGATCACGTCAAGTCACTCTTGCTTCTACTCTACCTAATTCTGAAAGGTTCTATGGCTGATCTTCTTCCTTAGCCTGAGTACTTTTCCCCTTATGCTTCAGGTAGAGACCAGAAGAACCTTCATTCCTAAACTTCAGGTCCATTTATCTAGACATCTGCAGACTAAAGTTTCATCTTTTGTTTGGTCTCCTTACAGGGGATTAAATTCTAATGAGTAGGTTCAGTATCATATCATAGTTCTCTCAGAATATGCTCCGTACTATTGTAAAAAATGGCTCCTATCTGCTTATTTTTAAGGATTGACATGCAGAGGCAAAATATATGAAGCATGTTCAACAATCTGGAGGACTATAGGGAGATCCAGTGAAGAGGCATGAAAAATATATAGGTAATATTAATAACGTTTTGAGACAAAAATATAAGAGATATCTAAAGACAAGACATGATGAATTCCATATAAGTTAATTAATTATACTGACTTCCATGAGTCTTACAAAGGAGAGGTCACTGGTTAAGTGAGGGCAGAGGTAGGATTTCAGCCAGGCATGACAACATGGATAGAATTAAGAGAAAGAACAGGAAGCAAAGTTACAGATTTGATAAAGCATAAAATGAGTATAGGTAAAGCAAGCACAGTAGCCTGCCTGTACTCTTGGAGCAAATGTGTAAAACAGGAACGGCATTAGGTCAGGATAAATATTTCCATTTTCTTCCATAATTTTAGTTCTGTGATGATATACCTGAAAAGGCACACAGGATATGGCATTTTTTACATATTCAAATGAAAACATTTAGATCAATTGTTGAATTGTGGGATACTCTGTTGGTGTTAATTTAAATTAATTAATAAGAGGCTAATCTCAGCCTATCGAGTTTTTAATCATTGATTTTAGAAATGTAATCTCAGCCACTGGATCATGTTGGACAGCCCAACAATGTAATTTTGTTTATTTGCTTGTTTGCTTGGTTTTGCTTGGATGTTTCTTCACAAAAAATCAAGTAGCATAATTTAATAATATATATATAATATTTAATAATATATATATGCATATTCTTTTACAATATATACAATCTTTTAAATGTGTATATATATTTAATAGTATATATTAAATTATAAGTGTTCAAAAATCTACATTGCTCATCATCAGATAGTTTATTATATCATATTTCTAATATATGTGGTTTAATTTTCATATTTTAGATGTACATTATCTTCAAATGATAGAACAATGTGGTAAAGAAGTAATGAGGCAAGAATCTATAGCAATTAGAAGTCCTGGTTGAAATACTTAGTTCCACCATATAGTAGCTATGTGATTCTAGACAAACATTTGTGCATGTTTTCTTAACTATAATAGACTAAACTGATTTTATCCACCTACTATTATGCAGTTACCAAGAATATATAATAATAAAAAAATAATAATTTCAGTTTAAGAGGTTACTTTAAGTTAACTTATCCCCATCACACACCACAGTCTATACATATACAGGGAAGAAGGGCACTAGGATAAGTGATTTCTTGAGTGGATTGAAATTACCTAAGAATTAACTCAACTTATGTATAATGAACCATTCTCTTTTTCACTGTAGGAGCAATCCTTACTATCTTGAAGTGTGTTTGAAGAGCACTGGCAACCCTCTGCTATCTTGCTCAATTCCAGAGGATGTTAAGAGAAAGGGTGTTTATGGTGTTTATTAAGAAAAACACTTCATAAATAATGTCAGATATAAAGTAGAGTTGTGTATGTGAGTCTCTTTTTACCTTTGAATGCTTTCAGTGGGAACCTGAATTGATGAGTGAAGTGGGACAAGAAAAAAACAGGCAAAAAGATACAAGAAAACATACAAATGGCAGGAATGTAAAAGAGAGAAAAGAATTAAAAAAAAAGATAAAAGGAAAAAGAGTAGCTCTTAAAAATGAAGAAACATTAAAAAATAATTTTTTCCATGCTTAAAAAATATTAGATTCAGGGATAAATGAGGCAGTCGTAAAAACAGAATAAAGAAAATGAACATAGAGCTGCAAAACAAAAGAAAAAAATCAAAGCGATGGTGACAAAATAAGGAGAAAAGGAAGAAATAAACAGAAAGGACAGATATCTGAAATAGATGTTTAATTTCAACATGTCATAGGCAAAGGAAAGAAGAAATCAAAAACAACATAGGAGAGCACTTCTGTTTGCATTTTACATTAAGTAAGTGAATACACAATGGTTTGAATATTCAAAAATACCTTATAAAATAATTTCTGGAATCTACATATTAGAGAAATCTTTAAAAAATTTTTTCTTCTATCATAAGATGGTAGTGGATCACACGGTGGGGAGCTTAGGCACCTGGTAAAGAAGGTAAGATCACAACCATGATGCAAAGGGGGAGCTGTGACTACGCTAGAGCAAAGAAGGTTCTTATTGATTCCAAATCTAATCATTCCTTTTGTTTTTGAAAATACATACGAAACAGTGAAATGCTTTTCTGAAATTTCAATATTATACCAGCCTAACACATTGTATGGTGTGCTTTAAGTATTCTTGGTTAGGATAACTTTTTTTGGGGGGGGTCTTTAGAATTTGTAGGTGCTTTCACTACTGCTTAACTGTCCTAACTTACTCAATTGACTGACCAATAACCAAACATCTTGAATTTTTAAAGTATGATTCCAGAAATTAAAACAACTATGCTATGAACTATGTATAATAAGGAAAACAAAAGTTAGTAACATATTTCCCTTTGCAGACAGAATGAAGTATTTTACTAATGATCTTTTAAAGTAAATGTAAACATAGCTCAAGTTGAATAACCTGAAGTGTTACTACAATCCTAAAGAGTAATTCATAAGATGCTAATCTGTCTATGTGTAAATGTTCTCAATTTCTTACTTTTGAAGACTATGTCAAGTTCCTGTTTTACTTGTGCAGCAGCATTTTTGATAGGCTTCGCTATTAAACTTCTAGCATCCATAAGAAAGGCATCAAAAATTGCACAAACCTGTGTCATGTATATAAGGCACAGGATGTATATCAAGCAGAATATGTCCAAGGGTAGTAAGACTGTCTGTGCCCCTGACAGAGTTAGAAATCCTTGGCAGCACTGCTCTAAGATTCCCATGCTGTAGGGTTATAAAGTGCAAAGGTCTGCTGCATATAACAAGAGCAAAAGACAGAGGTGCCTGCTTACACTATCTCTGAAGTATTTTGGCTTAAATATTTATTAAGGTAATAATTCTTCTTCCTTCTCTCTGTCTTCAGAAGTTAGGCTGAGACACTGAGGATAGAAGGTCGCTCATAGAAGAACAATGCTTTATCCAGTAAAACATACCACCCAAGATGAATACTACTTTATACAGTACATTATTAATTCAGCAGGTTATATGCCTTAGAAATTTCTAGGCTATATGCACTCTCTCTCTTACAGACCACACAACAGAATAACACCTTAAAGGGAAAAAAAAAGTATATTGGAAGGCTGGACAGGAAAGTTTTCTTCTTTCGGCATACATCACAACAAAATTATTTTAGGAAATTTTCCTTGAAGCAGCATATATGAAAAGGAGATAGCATTTGCATTTGAGTTTTCTATCAAATGTCACACTGAATAAAAATAATGCATTTTGTAATTCGAAAACACAGGAAACATTTTATACAAGTAGACAACCATGGGAAATGAATGGCTGACAATGAAAGTATTAACATTTTCTTTAAAAACAAATGAGACAAATAATCTGCATGAAGCAAAATAAAAATAAAGAAAATAATGAAGGAAAGTAGTGATCTCACTTACTCTGATAAACAATTGCATCATTTCTTTTTCTCTTTGGGGGTTACGATACTTTTCATAGAAATCGCGTCGCTTCTTTGTGTCTTTAGACACTTTATCTTTTCTTTCCCGCTTTTCTGCTGGTTCATCTGAACTATCAGAAGACGACTGTACATGTATCTTTGGCTTTTCTACTTCAATATAGTTTTCATTGGGATTCAGTACTATTACTCCATATCCTTCCTGTTTTGAAATGAAAGAAGGTGACATAATTTAATCTTAGGATCCATCTCAATTCATAAAAAGTTCTAAAATCTCAGACTAAGTAATTTATTATGGTTACTTATTCACTACAATAGTCCTTGAAGAAACATTATAGTCTGAATTCCCCCCCCCAAAAAAATCCTCATTTAAAATTGTTTGCCTTTATGTGTATGGAAATAAGTATTAATATCTTTAAGAATAAAAATTGCCATTGCAAAATAAAGACTATAAAGCTTAAATTTAAAAGAAAGTAATTCAGGTCTTCCAGAACTCCAAAATTCATAAACTAAATGATCAAATAATAACTATACTTTCAAACCACATTAATACTTATGATATATACTTTGAGAACAAAATAATTTCTTTCAAATTGGAACTTATAATTCAAACTACCTTTTGTTGAACTTTTTCTCTACAATTACCCTATAATGAGTAATTTTTGTTTGAACAGAATAAAAGAATACGCAATTAAAAAGGAACAAATCTGATCTAACATTCCACAAATTTACCTGTCTATGTTATCAGAGACATATGATGTCTACCTGTGTACCTTGAGTTTAATTAAATCTTTTCTGTTAGGAGGGCAGATAAATCATAAAACAAAATAAACTGATACCTTATCATAATGTATGAAAGTGACTCTTTCATCTTGAAAATTCATTCATTTTTCAAACTACCATAACTATTTCTCTTATTAAGAACCAGTAAGAGGAAATAAGTAAAGTTTCAAAGTTTAAAAAAATATAGCTTGTTGAGCTCTTGGAGCTTTTTAAAAGTTTGTAAAACATGTTTTTCTATCTGATTTATTTCTAGCATGGCAAACATATATCTATGGTAATAATTTGGAAACTTTTTGGTATTTATATTATATTTGATGAAACAACCATAAGAAAATGGAGAAACATAGACAACATAAATTCTTGAAGCTATTATATAGATCTTTCTTTTCCATTCTGTACTGTGGGTGCCAAGTATGTCCTTGTAAAAACCCTGGAAGGTCATATTTAAATGTATTTAATGTATTATAATATGATTAAAAAAAAAAAGAGCTATACAAAAATAAAGCCTATAAAATATCATCTTCCCTAAAACAAAAGTATGTACCAATGTTTCTTCAAAAACTATAACTGTAAAATCTATTTGAAGTTTAAAATATAATTACTATTTTTGGCCAATCTAGCCTTAAGGTGATATTTTAAAAAAAAACTGATAAAAGTAACAATAAACTATTATTAGCATGAATTAAATTATCTTATTTTAAATAAGCCACACTGCTGCATGTGTTTGTTTTTTTTTTTAAATAATGTTATTTCACAAACTCTTTCAAACTTCACCAGGATTATTTTAATTTCTCCCTTCCCACAATCAGATATGTTATTGTCTAAAACCAAAATTTGGTTTGAGAAGGCTCAAGATCATTGAAGTTCTGATTTTATAGAAAGGACTGTTAAGACAGTTATCTCACATGTGTCAAAACTACATAATAAGCCAAACTGATTAACAAAATACCAAACATTCTTCAACAGATATTCAAATAAACTTTAAGATAAATGTCTTTTGTGAAAGGCATATATAATACACGTTTTTCATTTAAACATTCTATACCAAAGCACAAGTTTTTTACTTTTTTTTTTTTTTTTTTGGTGTGTGTTTTTTAAATTTTCTTTTTAGGTTCTTAGTTGTTCAGTCAAAAGTTTTACAAACAAAAGATATTTTATTTGGTCCTGCTTTATTCTAATCTGTATAGCTATTCAAAAGTCTTGTAATTCATTGTGATCACTGTCAGGTAGACAGATTGTCACTTCGTGATTTTCTACAGTTGGACACACTTGACTAGTTATTAAAATCACATTTGAAGGAAGTTCCTACCCCTCTTCCTTGTGCCACTTACAACTTTTCACGCCCTTCTCAAATTTCAGCTATAACTTCTCCTCCCACTAAAAGTAAGTTAAAGAACACTGTTGCACTCTGCTGAACAGGGTGAGAGAGGCATTCAGTTCACTGTCTCTGGTGTGAGGAACATAGTCAAAAAGGGTCACGATAGGCCAAAAAGAAAATTGCCTCCTTACTAGATGCTGTACCATGAGTAAGTGGTCTCCTGTCAGTTTCTTCTCTGAGTGAATTGAACTTTAAACATGTGCGCGTGCATACACGCGCACGCATACACACACACAGATAGATGCACACACCCTTCACACTCCCACGTGAGTTAAGAGTTTGCAGGCTCAAAATACAATCTTAAAATTCTTAGAGGTGAAAATAAGTACATGCTATGTTTTAATGATATGAAAAACTTCAAACTCAAGGTAATGACATGAAACTTTAGAGAAACTGATAGAACATGAGTATCATCTTTGCACAATGAATGAATTCCAAATAAAGATCAACTTTTTAAACAAAATCATAGTCAACAGAATTACAAAACTACTTTTATTAATAACTTAATCACTAATAATATGTTCATAAAATAGGTTTATTTGAGCAGAAGTTTTACTTCATTTTTAGGATATGTCAAACATTATTGCGCCTCCTTGATTTTTAAAAGGGCTCTGAAATCTGTCTCATCTAAATAAATATAAAAAATAGATATACATAAATCACCAAAGAAGTAGTATTTGTCTGGGATATTGATTATGTAACTGAAAATTACACGACTCATTTGTTCAATTTTATGAAGGCACAATGTCAATTTTTCACGGAGGCGCCCACATATGAAAAATGATTTTGTTTTTAAGCCACTACAAATCAATTAAAGAATTTTTATCATTTAGGCTTCAGCAGTGAATGTTTCTCTTTAAACACTGAATTATTTAGAAAATATTTCATCCTTTGGATATTTCAGACTGCCAATCCAATTAATATAATAACAATCAAGAAATATTCAGGAACATTTTCTGCAGAAATGAAAGCCCATTTTAGTAAATGTCTTTGTTGCAAATTCAATTACCGTTCTGTAAGAAAATTAACATATTTTTCAACTAATTTTTCTGATAAACTATTAAAAGAAATATTCACAGAGATCATTCATAACCTTTTTATAATAAGTAGGAAAAAGCAAGAGTAACAAAATAAACGTTAACTATCCCACATACATGCTCTAACCACAGACACGTCGTAAAACTTTTTTCTTCTTTTCTCTGTCATACATTATACTTGTGAACAAATATCTCTTTATATAAGCTTTGAAGATTTCTGCCATGTCAATGTTAACATATGGAAACTAACAAGTCAAAACAAATAAAGCAAATCAGAGAGAGACAAAATGTTGGGAAGTATATTTAACTGCTTTAATAAAATAATACCAACTTATACCTGCAAAAATCAGAATAAGTACCATTTTAAAAAAGTGATTCTCTCCCCAGTATTTCAGACAGTATATAACAACATATAAGTATTGTGAACTTCAATGAATACACCTATAAAGTTTTATGAAACTACACTATTAAATCAGGTATCAAGTATAATATTATAAAAGAATTATGCTTTGCCACTTTAATAAGTAAGCCTTCATAACTTAAGTGTTTTATATTGAAATATTCCTTTATATTTTATTATTCCTTAGGCATGCCAAATTCTTCATAAGATGAAAAGTTAAGTCATTTCAAACATAAATGGAAGTCTCTTCTGTTATTCTCAGCAAGACAAAATGATCAAACTGATTATCAAACATTCTACAACTAAATAAATAAAATTTATGGAATCATTTATAATGATTTACCCAAATCAATTCCAATATCCAACAGTTCAAGAGACAAAGCATACATAAAGTTGTTAATTAACTCATATGTTTGATTGCATACTGTAGTAGAAGATCAAGGCGATCCAGAAGGCAGACATTGGTAAAAGTATGCTTTATCTGTTTAACTCATCCATATTCCCTTTCCTATACTTTTGTACTTTTTGTAGTTGTAAGGGTAGTTTCATTTTCCAAACTGTGTTTAGAAGGCATAAGCCATGGGATCCTAATCAGAAACTTTCAAAAAGGCTTATTGCTAGACAGAGCATTATACTCAGCACAAGTCCTTGCTGTGATATAAACAGAATATACAGGCCTCCAGGCCTTTCTTACTTGGAAGTTTATAGATGCACTTACTGATAAATAATAGTTAATTTATCATTCAGTCAATAAATGATGGGTTAGGTCACAGAGGTCTAAAACAGACAGGTGATGCCAAACACAAAGCATTGAAGAAGAAAAAATTAATTTCAAGAGAAATTAAATCAGTACAAAAATGGACATATCAAGAAGATTCTGCAAATAGATAAAATTTAAAATGCTTGACCCAAACCAGGCTGTATTTTTTTTTTGTCTCAAATGAAACCTTGCTAAAAGTGAAAATTTGTTCTAGTTAATTACCAATTATGAGGAAAATGGGAAATAGGAGCAATTCTACATCTTTTTAAATCTCTTGTGGTTGGCTAAATAAAAAATCAGCTGAAAGTACTCTGCTCTGCATATTAACTTGCCAATACTGCAAGCCACATGTGACCAGCGAGGTCAGGGGCCAGAGTAGAATCCTTTGACCTATGGAACTTTCCATTTTGGTCTTCTGGCAAGGCTCTGTTAGAGATCATTTTACACAATTTATCAATCATATTTTCAAGTTCAGCATTCTATCTGCTTGGTTTGAAAGAAGATAGGTGATCATCCTCAAAGGAAATGAAATTCAAAAGTCTTTTACCTACAAACTACATCTATCCATGGTTAAAATGGACAAACCACTGTCCATCTTTTCTCAAAGATATATGTTGTGTTTATTCTCATCTTTTTCACAAGAAGGATATGTATATGCTACTGTTGCAACATCTAGGTGCAACAGTGAGATGAGGTCATGACAACCAATCAGAAGTCACTAGTGAAGCGTTAAAGTAAACATAGCTGTTGGAGCTGCAGCTCTGCTTGAAAAATGCCCCCTCCATTATTTCAGCAATTTTCTCAAGACGTGACCTGGGACTGAAATGCTTGAAATGTCACTTGA